TGAAACGTCAAAAATGACTCGCGAGCCTTGCGAATGTCACCTTCCAAAGATGCAATGTGTTGTAAACATCGGCGAAGACGAGAATGATGTTCCATAATTTTCGTATCAATCTCCCACAAAGCAACTCTATCATATTCACAGAAGCTGAAAGGACGATCTGCATGAGTCTCCACAGTGGAGTCTTCCATGGGATGATTTCGTCAATATGACGGGCTAACGAATCCCTGAGGGCAGTCATAAGTACCAACCCCCTGAAGCACTTCGAGCCTCAAAGAAAAACACGAGGTGCAAAACACGTGTCCCTGCTCCACATAAAAACTGCGGAAAGAAATGAGCAGCACTCAGGGCCAGGCTCATACTGTCTCCAGCTCATGGAAAAAGAGCATGGAAAGCTGATCGAAAACGTCTCACGAACGACTCCAGCCAAGATAAGCGTGCATCACTTTGTTGAACACGTGCTTCCAACACACGCAAGCGACTGGATATGTCTTCAAGGGCTCGACTGAGTTCACCAAGTTCATCTTGATGCCTTTCACACATAGCATGCACATCAACCACATGCCGATGCACCAAACTGACTGTGCCAGTCCCACTAGAGGACGGTGTCTGGGGCTCCGAAGCTGCACCATCTGCCATGGCTCAAGCTAACCCCCCCTTTTTCGAAAACAATCTATCAGCTTCTAAGAGCACTTTCCGGGCATCCTGCCCTCTGAGAGGTCCCGCTGCGACGGGTGTATAAGTAAATACAAATCCTGCATGAACAAGCATAAAACTGATCAAGCGTTGGAAATAAGTTGTGCAAAAAGGCAAGCACTGAAACAACAAGCAAATGTTTTGTTCACCACAACATTTTGATGTTGTTTCCTTTGAACAATAAAGCTCTATCTTCTCCAGGCATTCGAAGAACGATACCTCTGAAGCTCCAATGGTGTAGCACTTGCCAATTGAAGATAGGTCAGACCAAGTATGTGTGCAAGCTTTGCTCGAGCGGCCTCACGAATATTATATCCAACCGCAGCAAGGACAAGAGCTGCTTGTTTAGGAAAGGGGGCGTAATGCTGGCATTGCTCTTTGCTCCATTGAGCACACGAGATGACTCGATAGGCAGCAGCAACAGGGCAATAAAGGCCAGCAATGCGCCTTTGCACTTCTTCTTGAACGTTGGCCGGGACTTCCGCCTGAAACCTTAAAACAGTATTACGTCTTCTAGCAATCTCAACCTTTTTCCTTGCTACTCTCAATATTTCTTTTACCAATCCCACCTTCTTGACTCAACTGTGCCGAGGCAGGATTTTCCGGTAACATGTTGGCAGCCGCATCATCACCTTTAACAGCAGGAGGCTTTCCATGAAGCAAAGTCGGGCACTGGGCAGTATCCGATTGCTCCATGGCAACCTTGCTTGACTTCTCACCCTGATGATTGGCACATCTGGCTTTGTTCGGCTTATTGGCTGCGGTAGCCTTAAGTCTATCATCAGTGCGGATGTTAAAAGCATAGATGACGCTAGTATTAATCCCTATCAACTTGATGATATCACATGAGTGACATCGTGGCATGAATAGAAGCGCGCCCTGGTGTAGGGAGATGAGAACATTGTTACTCGCAGAAGATCCCGGATGACAAGCGAGATGTTGACCATTCTTGAGAACTAGCGGGATCTCTAGTTCAGTCTTACCAGTAATGCGGACAAGCAAATACTGGATAGATCCCATTTCAGCAGTAAAGTCTTCATCCTCCTGGGAAGCCTTAGGAAGGTTTTCTGGCACTCTCCAACCTTGAAAGGCTTCATTTTGGCTGAGAAATGTCTGGACACTCTGCAGCTTCACTAGTTCCGGAACATCCTCACATTTACCAGTCATAACAACATAAGGCGCCTGTCTGTCGATGATCAGGAAATGTGTTTCAAGGTCATCCTTGTGCCAAATTGTACTAGCAATTCGTTGCTTGGATAAGGGGTGATACTCATCCCTTGCTCTTACATGGATCAATCTTCCTTGCCCAATCTTATCGCTCCCAGAGTGGCAATTCAAAAAATGTTCTCTAGGGTTCTCGGAAATGTGATTAATGGGCTTATTGCTCCATCTTGGGGCATCAACAACCTCTTGCAGCAATTGCACTTCAGTTCTTCCACAAGGAAGGTCGAAATATTGACATTGGGTGAGCGCATCGGCAGCGGCGACAGTGGCAGTTACATGGACAGCAGGTATGACAACATCAGTGCCAGCTAATACATGTACGATTCCTCTGTACTGCACCGGAATTTTGATGTACTCGAGATCCTGAATAATGTCTTGCATGTCCCCGGTGCAATTGTGAAAGGTGATCTGTAGAGAGACCTCTGTAGAGTTGAAAGGTTGAGTCACCTTCCAAGCAAAGATTTCCTGTGAGTTCTTCACATTGCAAATGTGAAATCTTGCGGCATGCAACGCGAGGCTGTCAGGGATGGTAAGCTGCTTTTGCCGAAGACCCAGGATAGCCTTCTGAAGCTGATAGGGGTCCGCAAAGATTCTCAGATACTTTCCCGGGGCAGTGTGGAACGCATTCATAAGCCTGTGCTGATTGAGAATGCAATGCACTTGAAAGGCTTCATCCTTAGTTCGGGCAGAGTTGATAGTATACGGGAGGTCAACGAAGTTGACACTATTGCCCGGCATCCCTTCAAGAGGCGCAAAGCGATACCAGACCTGGAGCTCAATTTGTGACTTGCCTTCAGTTTGTTTGAGCACCTTATCATACATCTCTTCAACCTTCAGCATAAGCGCTTGAAGTTGACTAACGCTGATCTTAGGCGCTCTGAGGCAAACAACACATCGATTCTCCTGATCAGTTAACGCAACGATGGGCTGCTGCGGCTTCCTAATGTGAGCTAATCCAAAGTCTCGACCGAGGTGTTTAACTTCCTCGTCAAATATTCCAACAGTGCCAGCGATGATGACTTCAGTATTGGCGGCTTCTTGCTTCATAGAAGGCGTTATGGCAATGTAGTAGCAAGTGTGATGGACAGGGTAGCTGCTGGGAATGTAAGTGACCAAGTATACAAATTCCCGTTTGCCCTGCACTTCAATGGCACCAATAACCGTCAAGCTGTGGATTTGACGAAGGAAGTCTTCATCATAACTCCTGAAGAGTACACTGAGGAGTACACATGGGATGTCCGATATGGAAAGTGAGCTGTGCAAATTGCTCACGATCGTTATACTCGTCTGTTGTGTAAGACCCTTCCTTAGATTATGAAGGAAATTCTTACTAGGGTTGACGAGTAAGATAGATTGGAGCTCTGAGCCCTGCACTTGGCGCAATTCTTGCCATAGTTTGTGTAGACACGATACATCCATCTCTAAGATACTCCAACAAATGTGTTGATGGTGTTCTGGCAAAGACAGCATCATACTCAGTGAGATGACCCAACATAAAGTCGGCAAGACACTGAAATGCGCTTCCATCGATGTTGCTAATTCGATCTTGCGACATGGTGCAGATACCTTACGCCGAAGCCATCCGTACTGCACAATGCGCAAGACAAATTTGCCAAAAGGTTCTAGTGAAGCAAAGAGGCTCCAACCCTGAGGAAGTTTGCAAGAGAGAGAACGTGCGTTCACACTCAAGAGAAAGGTGGCAGGACAACTGAGGGCTCAGTTGACGCAACTTTCGAGCGCTCAACCCACAAAGACTTAAGGAGAGCCAATGCAGCTTGCAAAGTGTAGGGTTCCAAGCAAAGCCAAACACGGACTCCCACCCCTTCTACAACTTTCCTGGCTTAACCACCTCGAGCAATGCGGCTTGAGCTGCCTTACAGCCGATCCAAACGTCTTAGAAACTGTTCGGAAGAAGCTCAAAAAGGTTTAGAAAGTGTTTAAGAGAAACCCGAAAAACTGTCTGGGTAAACCAAAAAGGCAAATTGTCCGAGTACTGTAGAAACTGTCTAAGCCGAAAAAGGCTCAAGAAGCAAGAACTGACCAAAAGCTCAGAAATTCCGGAAGGAGCCCAAAAGGCTCAAAAACTGTTCTCACAAACTGTTTGGAAGAAGCCACCAATCTGCGCTCTGTCTCAGCTGAACTCTCAAGACATTGGCAGAGCTGCCTTGTCAGAAGTCGTCAAACTTCTGTGCGTGGTGAAGCCCACAAGTAATGGCCAAAACACCAGCTTCTTCTTCGAGAAGCTTGTGTGACATTCACTCTGTTCGTTTCATGACGAATCAATATTGTGTCCCCATTCGCAGGCTTACTTGAAAATTTAACAGAACAAACACGAAAAAAATGATGAGCCTTGCAACTAAGTCCGGCAGCTTGCATGTTTGACACAAGGCAGCCAGCTGTCCTTTGCTTTGCGGCGCTATTGCTTGAGACGCTCTGTCTTCTGGTGGAACGTTTCCTGCCGGAAACGGCAATTCCCTGGCAAACTGCAAAGTACAACACATACGCGTCACTCCATTTGCCGACCTTCCAGTCCAGCTAAGCTCTGGACTCAGAAGCTGCATTTAGGCTTGCCCAAAAACAGCGCACATCCTTGGTTATCGAAGGCACCTTCACAAATGCTGTTCCATCGACACTCTGCAACCGGCGACGCAGACAGGCCAATGAGTCTGCGTTTACTGCCAGGTCCATGCTTGTGTGAACGATCACATGAGTGCGACAGAAAAGTGAACCTCACAGCCGTATCCTGTTTTCCGCTGTCTCCACCTATGACTCTGAAAACCTACCTCTTTATTCAGGCGGTCATCTGAACCTGTTGAGTCAAATAAAAAAGAGTGCAGTGAATGAAAATGTACTAAAAGGGCATTGAACATCGCGCATTTTAGTATCTTTAATATGTGCTTTTGCTTTTCTTTCTTTGATGCTGCAGGGTCGTTTTTAACGCAGCATGAAAGGGCTCTTAGTTAAAATGTTCTTGCGGGGCCCATAATACTAATACGCTTATGGCCCCGAAAAATGTGAAATTTAGAAAGGGGAAAATTGTAATATTAGTGCGCGATTCGTACAGTTTAGAACACGCAATAGTATTATGCACGCAGCAAAAGGGCCTTCACTCCGGACCCTTTTGTCTCTAAGCCTTTAAAAAAGGGTTGACTGATGATGGAGCACAGGGTCTAGTTTCCTGGCTATGATTCCGTGTTACACGGTAAAAGCTGGAGAACCTGATGTTGGCGTCCCGTGTTTCGTTCGCCAAAACCCCCAATTAAACAATAATAAATTCACGCGTGTCCTTGTAATGTACTGCTTTTAAGAACATTTCAGGGGGGGAGTGTGCGTGCATGACAATTTTCGCAGATAAGCAGAGGGGGTGTATGACAAATTTCAGAGATAAGCAAAGGGGTTTGGGGGACTGTGCTTGTATGGCAATTTTCACAGATCAACATAGGGAGTTGGGGCGACTGTGCTTGTATCTTGTATGACAAATTTCAAAAGACAAACAAAAGGGGTTGGGGGAACAGTGCTTGTATGACAAGTTTCACAGATCAGCAAAGGGGGTTGGGGGGACTGATTAGCAAAGGGGGTTGGGGGGATTGTGCTTGTATGACAAGCTTCAAAGATAAGCCAGGGGGTTTGGGGGGGACTTGTGCTTGCATGACAATTTTCGCAAATATGCTAAGAGGGGGTTGGGGGGACAGTGTTTGTAGCTGTGCAAGCGTGTTTCACAGCATAAGAATCTGGTTGAAACCCATCATGCGAGCATTGTGTTTGCAGACTCATGCGAGCTTGAAGCCCCCCTTCGAAGCCTTCGAAGCCCCTCATGAGTTGATGAGTGGTTACCTTGGAATAACCACTGGGCACAGGCCTCATCAAAGCAAGGAAGCATTTGTGACACCACTCCTCAAGAACCTGAAAGCTGCAGAGACCCGCAAGATCATAGGCCAGCGAACGACGAGTCCAAGCATTGCGCAGAGCCAAGTCAGTGTGCGTGTCACAAGTGGCGGACTCAGCCTTGCTAGCCATTTTCAGGTTCCCTTCGCCATCTACCACCACCTGCTGGTCTTTCTTCAACTGCTGAGCTTCTTGGGCACGGCTGATGATGCGATATGCTGGCAAGTACTGAAGGACTCCATCCTCCAGTTGTTTGACGAGAGTATCCACGACAGAATGGGCAGGCAAGGTTTCGGGTGAAAGAATGAGGCCCGTGACCCGCTTCTTCAAGGCTTCCTGGCGAGCCAATCGCTCCGCATTTGGCATAGCACGAACCACCGCTGTGTCAGCGGCAGGCTCCACGCGTGCCCTCATGTCAGCCACGCTCAGGTTCTGGGCTTCAAACATCAAACGTCTCACCTTAGAGGACTGATCAGGCGGGAAGTCATGGGGGAAAATGCTTCCCATCCAACGCTTCACATCGGCTTCATCTAGTTGCGTCGGTGTGGTTGACACAGCAAAGGCCAAGGTCCCGAAGCTCTTGAAGCCCGCATCGACAAGGGTGCGAATGGTGGATTCGCTCAATTTGACTTTCTGGCATCTCTCCAAAAACCAGGCCTCGCTGTCCACCGCGATTCCTGCCATGGCTCGAATCCTAGCAAGTCGGGACAACCTCGCTCCTTGTCGGGTTGAAGCCCAAAGCTCGACTTCGGACAAGATGGGTATTGCAACACAGTCAAACGTGTCCGCGGTTTCCCAGAGCAGAACCCCATGCTTTTATCATGACTGCGATTCCGAAGTGCTCTGACGGTGAATGAAGCCTCGGCTCCCGCAGCTGGGTGATTCTCGATAAAGATTTCGAGTCAGCTGGAGTAGGCATCAGATGTTCTCCCTCAAAGATCTCGACTTGCGTTCGAGTGGGAGCGACATCACCGATTGTCAGACTTCGGTGCGACGCCTGAGATTGGCTGAAGGATCTATCGTCTGTGCTGTTCACAAGGACAAATGCACTCGGTTTCCTTCAAGATTTCGATCACTCTGCAGCCTCCAAAATGTGCCGGCATTGTTTACAGGGGTCGGGGTCCTCAAAGTACACCCCCGCCTCACTGAAAGGAATATGGTTCCTCGAGAGAGGTCGGCCACACCACAAGTTGGCTTGATCCTTCAAACAATGCGTTATGCCGGACACAGTGTGCACTACAAGAGATTCCTCGGAAACATTTGGCCCAAAAGGGGCCCTCACTAAGCCTCCCCCGCCGCGGCCTGGAGCCTCAGAAGCTTCAGAGCTTTGTGAAGAAGGGGGGTCCTCGAACTCGTCAAAATCGTGTTGTGGAACAGGCGCCTCGGGTTCCGTAGCAATGACGTCATGGGCGGCACTAGGCCTCTCCGCTGCAGCCACTTGCACCACCCGATCAACGTCAGACAAGTCAGGGTCATAGTCTCCCGCGCGAATGGCCTCGAACATCGCCATGACACGGCCGTACAAAAGGGTGTACTGCTGTCTGGCATAGGTGGCGGGTGATTTCTCCTTCGGAGCAATGCGGTGTCCAAGAAGGCGCTTGCCCGCCCAAGAAGTCAACGTGGCCTTCAAAGAATGTGTCGCCCTCTGCATGGCTTGGTCTTGATCGATTCCCTTCAAAATCAGAAAGTCCTGGAGGTAGCTGGTCGCCTCAACGCTTCCCATCTTGACAGTGCTCCAACGGTTTTGGCTCTCGAGGCGTGACGGCAGCGCAAAATTCTCAAGAGAAAGGCCTTCATGTTCGCGAGCTTTTAGCCAGGCTTTTGCCCAGTTATGGCCAGACAGCCCGCAACCAAGTGCTGCATAAGGTAGCAGCCGGGTTTTTGCCTCCTTGGAGACCGTCGTCTTGGATGTCAAGCCTGAGGCAACAACAAGGATCACGCCGTTGGACTCCTGAATTGAAATCTCCTTAAGGTTCTGTGAGTCGCTCCATCTGTCAGCCGAATGCGTGCAAAACAGCAACTGTCCACAAATGCACGCAACTACTGGTCCAGTTTCCACGCAAAATGCTTCCAATGCCATCACCATGGGAACAGTCAATTCAGGTTTCTGTTGCAAAGGACGCTTCATCAAATACAGATCCCGGCTTATCCCAAGCACCCGACTGGAAAGGACTGTATCAGGCTCCATATGCAGCAACTTGGCAACCCCGTGCACAAAGCGGAGGCCTTCCACAAAATGCGTCATACTAGTCGGCCTGGCGCCTGAATCACGCAAGAAGTTTGCATACATATATATGGTCGGCTCATCGACTGCCAGAGGGCTGTCTATGCTCTCTGTTGTGCACCAGGAAAAGTACCTCAGGAGGGACCCGCCTCGCTTTGAGATTGTCCTGGAAGCTTTGGTCCTGAATGCATCTGAAAAAGTCTTCTTGATGGCCTCCTCGTTTACATCGGCACCGAGTAACGACAGCAAGGACCTTCCCAAGCTACTCACCTCTGGATCCCACAAGATGACCAGCCGCATCTTTTTGAGAGCAGCTGTGCGAATGTCTTCCTCGGACCGCTCCACAGTGATGCGTTTTAGGTACTTGACTGTTGTGGGTGGCACACACCTTCGCTTTGCTTCATCTTCGGATTCCTCTGGATCAAGAAAATCGTTTGCACCAATCACATGCAAGGGGTTCGTTCCTCTTTCCCAGGAAAAACGCAAAGACGAAGATGATTCCCATGAAAATCTCGGCCTGCTCTCAAAACGCTGTTGCGAAGTGGCTTCCAGCTGCACGCTGGAAGTCGCCTAAGATTCTGTCTTCTGGAAGAGGGACCAGAAGAGATGCGTCATCGGTCTCCTGAAAAGAATGGCTTGCGACACGCAAAGTGGCACTCAAGTAATCGTCTGTCTCCAAGTCACGACAGGCGTCGTACCAAGCAGCTTCAGAAACTGAGGTAGGTGCACAAGACGAAGGCGGTATGTGTGGGCTGAACACAGGCTCGCTGCCCTGAACCCATTCTGGGTCGACCCAACCCTCTTCGTCCACTGGAACCCCGGGCAAACCCTGAAAAGGCCTACTGCAATCGACCCTGGAGTGACTTCCCAAAGATTCGGTGTCTTCAAGGGCTCCCGACTCACCCCCTTGGAAAGAGCCCTGAAGAGAACGAAGCAGAAACTGGGCTTGCTCGTCGGCTGCACGCAGATCGTACTCGGTTCGGTCCACCACACCTGCTGGGCCGAACAAGAGCCAAGGGTCGAAAGCGTCGGGCTCGGAAGGAGGATTGGACATTCCGCAAGCAGCACCTTAGTCGGACAATTGAAGAAGAAGGCGAGCACACGTATGCGGCCGGCGGCCGGAGCAAGCCAGAGCAAGCCAATGAGGAGGGTTGAGGAACAAAAGGATCCTGGATCCCTCTCTCGTACTGACCAGCACGCCACAGAAAGAGCTTTCGATGACGTACGAAAAGAGACTGGGAGGAGCGTCCAGCTGCCGCTGAAGGGAAGCGGAATGAAAGGATCGAGGCCGGATGCAAACCGCCTGGAAAGGCGGGGCTGGCGGCACAACAGGCCAGTCCCAACTGAGGGAGCTGCTCGCAGAGCTCGAGTCGCTGTCCATCCGCCGAGAGCTCACAGGCTCTCGGCTTGCACGACCCCTAAGGGGAGACCAGTAGCACCTCGAACCTCTAGCACGGCACCCTTACAGGATTAGAGGAGGCTCAACGAGGGACACAAAAATTTTCTCTCAGCCCGAGCTTGAGCAGCTGTTCACATGAATGCGGCCAACTGTTGATTCAAGCAGGCTGCAAGTCACACAGTTGAAAATGTCGTTCAAGATGCTGAGGAAAATTCTTTGAAAACTTGAAATAATTTTGCAACTCCCAAAGGTCACAAAAGAACTCTAAAACCCCGCGCTCGAAGGTATAGCGCTACAACTTTAGTTTGAGAGAGAAATGTCAGGCAAGCTGAAATTTTCCTTCGCGGCGTTGCCGGCTCGACGCCTTGGGCTGGTGGGCACGTGGCCGGGTGCGAGCCCAGGGTTGGTATGCTGTCCGGAGCCGCCCCTGGGCCAAGAGTGTCCGGACCGTTTCGGGCGCGGCTTTTGCCGTGCTCGCTTGCGGGGTGCTTCTGAGCGCAGCCCCTGGCTGCAGGCAGGGGGTTCCCTGGGTAGGCCCCGAGCACGGTGGTGGTTTGGCTGCTCCCAGAGGCGTGGAGCCTAAAGAGAGCATGTGACATGTTAGGGTGCAGGCAATCGAGAGGTTGGTCAAGAATGGCTGCGGACGACACCAAAGGGGTTAGGTGCAGCGACACTGCGTGCTGGGGCTGCAGGCGTGCAGAAATGTAGGCAAGAAAAGTAAGCAGGCAACGCAAACACTCCTTTTCCTTTATGTCGGAGATGAACTGCACCTGGTCAGGGGGCAGAGGGAGGTAAGGGGCGGGGGCGTGTCTGTATCCCTGGCGGCAGAGGCTGTTTGGTACATGGGCAAGCTGGGCAGTGTGGGCAAGAAGCTTGTGCCTTGAGAGAAGCGACCCTGAATTCGGGCACTAACCCCCCCTAGGCAGGCCAGCATGTCTGTGCAGGCCAGCATGTGCCCTCAGGGCCTGGCGAAATGCCTTCAGGAAGATTCCCCGCGCCGGTCGAATTCGCGGCAGCGGCTGCATTGGTGACAATCATGCCTATCGGCTTCGGGATCGTCCACGGTTTGGGCGCACACTAGGCCCCATGGGCCAAAGGGTTGTGTGCTGCAAGGCCTGGCGCCTCGTAGGCGTCGATTGTGGTCCGTGTAGAGGAGGCGTGTGTCTTCCTGGGCAATCCGGAAGGTATCCGGGCGCATAGGAGGAGGTCCTGTGGGCGGAGTCACTAGGGGCGGGCCTGCGAGGCTCCTGCGCGTCCACGTTGGAGAGCGGGCCGAGTATGTCCATGTCGGCGTCAGTCTGGCCATCCTCAGTGGCGTGTTTGCCGAGCGCTGGGTCATCGGCGGACTCCAGTAGGCTGGGCGGGTTGTCAAAAGGGTATGGGCCTGAGAAGACAGCGAAGGACTCTTGGTCCAACATGAACTCGGACCCGATGATCCCTTGGGCTGCTTGGGACTCGATAAGCTCGCAGTCCAGGCGGCGGATCATGATGGAGTTCGGTCATCTCTGACGAGGCTCTTCCGTCTGTTTTCAAAGCACGACATGGGCAAAGGCGGGTGCTGCTCCCTGGGCTGCGTGGGCGGGCAAGAGGCGTCTGCCGCAATAGGCGGAGGCGGTGAGGCGTCTCCGTCGTATATGAACCAGAAGGTGGACCAGTCCACCTCTTTGGAACCTCTAGGTGGCTGGCCCAAGCCAAAGAAATAGGACCACGTTCGGCCGTCATACTGCGTCACGGGCAGGTGATAGGCATCATGGGGCCCAGGTTGCGTGGGCTCAGTGGGCCTGGCTTGGCCGGCACGCCTTTGGGCTGTGCGAGAGGCTGCGGCTTGCGCTGACCAGTCTGGAACCGGCGGCAGATAGGCTGGCCCTTGTGTGCGGCCACCCAACTTGCGGGCAGGTTGGTGATCTCGCCCTGGCCTTTGCCCCTCCCCTTCTTGGGCTGTCTCTGTGTGGCTTTGACAGCCTTGGGCGGAGGGGGCGGGGTGTAGGGCGTTGTACGCTTGGTAGGGCTCTCGGCATCGCGGCGTTGGCCTTTGGGCGAGCCCTTTTTTGCTAGGCCAGT